GGCATTGCGCATGATGATGTTAGGCTTATGTGCGGCTGATCGGCCATGGAAACCCATTTCATGAAGCTCCCAACGAACAGCTCTTGTGCTGACGTTGTTTACAGAGGCAATTTGGAACTCGGTAGTGAGGGTCGCAACCGAGGACAGACTATTTTTACGAACTTCAGCACTCTGCGGTCCCGTTCTGTGAGCTTGTGTGGCCTACCACTTCGTGGCTGACTCGTTGTTGATCCAAGACATTTCCACTTCACAATAACAGCACTTACAGTTGACCGGGGCAGCTCTAGAAGGGCAGAAATTTGACAAACTGACTTGTTGGAAAGGTGGCATCCTATGACGGTGCCACATTGAAAGTCCTGAGCTCTTCAGTAAGGCCATTCTACTGCCAATGTTTGTCTATGGAGATTGCATGGCTGTGTGCTCGATTTTATACACCTGTCAGCAACAGGTGTGGCTGAAATAGCCGAATCCACTAATTTGAAGGGGTGTCCAAATTATTTTGCATATAAAGTGTATCTTTGATACAGGCATCCATCCTAACTCAGTTGGAAGGAAACAGCTCAGGGATTTCAATATGAGGCCAATGGTGACTTTAAGACAGTTCCAATACTAACCTAATTGACAGAGTGAAATGGCATGGCTGTGTGTTTCTATTTTATACACCTATTAGCCACGTGTGTGGCCGAAATGGCCGAATCCACTAATTTGAAGGGGTGTCCACATACTTTTGTGTGTAAGTGTGTGTGTGTGTGTACATACAGTACCAGTCAAATGTTTGGACACACCTACTCATTCAAGGGTATTTCTTTATTTTTTACTATTTTCTACATTGTAGAATAATAGTGTAGACATCAAAACTATGAAATAACACATATGGAATCATGTAGTAACCAAAAAAGTTTTAAACAAATCAAAATATATTTTAGATTTAGGATTCTTCAAAGTAGCCACCCTTTGCCTTGATGACAGCTTTGCACACTCGTGGCATTCTCTCAACCAGCTTCATGAGGAATGCTTTTCCAACAGTCTTGAAGGAGTTCCCACATATGCTGAGCACTTGTTGGCTGCTTTTCCTTCACTCTGCAGTCCAACTCATCCCAAACCATCTCAATTGGGTTGAGGTCGGGTGATTGTGGAGGCCAGGTCATCTGATGCAGCACTCCGTTACTCTTCTTCTTGGTCAAATAGCCCTTACACAGCCTGGAGGTGTGTTTAGGGTCATTGTCCTGTTGAAAAACAAATGATAGTCTCACTAAGCGCAAACCAGATGGGATGGCGTATCGCTGCAAAATGCTGTGGTGGCCATGATGGTTAAGTGTGCCTTGAATTCTAAATAAATCACAGACAGTGTCACCAGCAAAGCACCCCCACACCTCCATGCTTCATGGTGGGAACCACACATGCGGAGACCATCCGTTCACCTACTCTGCGTCTCACAAAGACACGGCGGTTGGAACTAAAAATCTCAAATTTGGACTCATTAGACCAACGGACAGATTTCCAACGGTCTAATGTCCATTGCTTGTGTTTCTTGGCCCAATAAAGTATCTTCTTATTATTGGTGTCCTTTAGTAGTGGTTTCTTTGCAGCAATTCGACCATGAAGGCCTGATTCACGCAGTCTCCTCTGAACAGATGTTGATATGTGTCTGTTACTTGAACGCTGTGAAGCATTTATTGGGGCTGCAATCTGAGGTGCAGTTAACTCTAATGAACTTATCCTCTGCAGCAGAGGTAACTCTGGGTCTTCCTTTCCTGTGGCGGTCCTCATGAGAGCCAGTTTCATCATAGAGCTTGATGGTTTTTGTGACTGCACTCGAAGAAACTTTCAATGTTCTTGAAATGTTCCGTATTGACTGACCTTGTTATGAACCCCGTGGCTTTAAAAGTCTAGGGTGGATGGAACAGAGACCCGTAACATAATTCATGCAAATTAGAATCATGACATGGAAACAGTGAGAACAAAAAATACACCGACAATCATAAACTACCATCAAACACAAGATGTTTATTTTGAACACACGGTAAAGGTTTGGGAAAAAGGGCTGAGCAGGACCCAAGAAATTAAACAATAATGTAAGAAAACCCTAAACTGATTTTGCCTGCCTCAAGAACCGCTAAGCTACTGCTAATCATACAAAAATTACAGTGGGTGGTCCGCTCAGGTCTAACTAGTGTTTTTAGACAATTTTCTTCCTACGGGTAATGTATGCCCAAGGGCAACTTGCTTAAATCCCCCTTTTCCCAATGGGAGGTGTAAGTGAAAAAACAGAAACAGGTGGTGCAATACAGAGGAATGTCCACTGATTGGACCACCTCAGCAATCAGCAGCCAAACGGATGTCGGACAGGTGAGACACCCCAACGACCACCAATCAGGAACATAAAGGACACCTGTGATTAGGGCAGAAGGAGAGGAAAAACACAAAAACACACACAGGATACCTGTATCCGTAACAGACCTTCAATGTCTTAACGTAATGATGGACTGTCATTTCTCTTTGCTTATTTGAGCTGTTCTTGCCATAATTCTATGGACTTGGTCTTTCACCCATGTACTGTCTTCTTGGTAAGCAACTCCAGTGTAGATTTGGCCTTCTGTTTTAGGATATTGTTCTGCTGAAAGGTGAATTTGTCTCCCAGTATATTCTGTATACCACCCCTACCTTGTCACAACAAAACTGATTGGCTCAAACGCATTAAGAAGGAAAGAAATTCCACAAATTGGTTGAGAGAATGCCAAGCGTGTGCAAAGCTGCCATCAAGGCAAAGGGTGGCTATATGATTTGTTTAACACTTTTGGTTACTACATGATTCCATATGTGTTATTGCATAGTTTTGATGTCTTCACTATTATTCTACAATGTAGAAAATAGTACAAATAAAGAAAAACCCTGGAATGAGAAGGTGTGTCCAAACTTTTGACTGGTACTGTATATACAGTACCAGTCAAAAGTTTGGACACACCAACTCATTCAAGAATCAATGGGTGTGTGTAAATAATTTAAAAGTCAAAACAATTAAAGTAGCAATCGCAGATTGACGCCTTAAATAAGAGCCTATAACTGATAAATGTTTCAAGAGCGTAGCGCACCTGTCTTACCTTGTCATTACCCACAATATAAAGTTGCATTACGCCATTGTTTACAAGACGAACATAAACCATGTATATCTTCAAGATATGTTCAAAAACAGTCAACTACAGTGAGGGAAAAAAGTATTTGATCCCCTGCTGATTTTGTATGTTTGCCCACTGACAAAGAAATGATCAGTCTATAATTTTAATGGTAGGTTTATTTGAACAGTGAGAGACAGAATAACAACAAAAAAATCCAGAAAAACGCATGTCAAAAATATTATAAATGTATTTGCATTTTAATGAGGGAAATAAGTATTTGATCCCCTCTCAATCAGAAAGATTTCTGGCTCCCAGGTGTCTTTTATACAGGTATCGAGCTGAGATTAGGAGCACACTCTTAAAGGGAGTGCTCCTAATCTCAGCTTGTTCCCTGTATAAAAGACACCTGTCCACAGAAGCAATCAATCAATCATATTCCAAACTCTCCACCATGGCCAAGACCAAAGAGCTCTCCAAGGATGTCAGTGACAAGATTGTAGACCTACACAAGGCTGGAATGGGCTACAAGACCATCGCCAAGCAGCTTGGTGAGAAGGTGACAACAGTTGGTGCGATTATTCGCAAATGGAAGAAACACAAAAGAACTGTCAATCTCCCTCGGCCTGAGGCTCCATGCAAGATCTCACCTCGTGCAGTTGCAATGATCATGAGAACGGTGAGGAATCAGCCCAGAACTACACAGGAGGATCTTGTCAATGATCTCAAGGCAGCTGGGACCATAGTCACCAAGAAAACAATTGGTAACACACTGAAGTTTGCCAATGAACATCTGAATGATTCAGAGGAGAAAGTGTTGTGGTCAGATGAGACCAAAATCGAGCTCTTTGGCATCAACTCAACTCGCCGTGTTTGGAGGAGGAGGAATGCTGCCTATGACCCCAAGAACACCATCCCCACCGTCAACCATGGAGGTGGAAACATTATGCTTTGGGGGTGTTTTTCTGCTAAGGGGACAGGACAACTTCCCCGCATCAAAGGGATGATGGACGGGGCCATGTACCGTCAAATCTTGGGTGAGAACTTCCTTCCCTCAGCCAGGACATTGAAAATGGGTCGTGGATGGGTATTCCAGCATGACAATGACCCAAAACACACGGCCAAGGCAACAAAGGACTCTACACACAAATCTAAAAAACACACACACAATGGGCAAAACCCCTCAATTCTCCAGCAAAATGAAACTTTACATTCAAAACAATGTTATTTCTTATCAAAATTGTATTTTGTTTTCAAATGACACACACAAACCATCATATGAATAGACATTTATAAGAACCAGTTGAATACTGATGTGCTCAATGTAAAACACTATGATGAATGGAAAACACTTCTTCATCCATAATGACTTAGAGCCGTTTTTTTGTTCATGGTTGCCATTATACACCATACGTACATAAGTGTGTTGTATAAATATTTGAAAATTGTTTTTATACTCAGAACACCAAATACACGAACAAATATATTTCGCATTTTTCCACACAAACAATGTACCAAGTTACATCCCATTCCCACCACAAAAGTGCACATACATGGTCTACCTACAAAACAGAAGATTTTAATGTATACGCTTCCTGTTGCGCTGCCACAGCACCGCATCCACATCACAACACATGTTTTTCCGGGCCAAGCACGGGGGAAATATTCGCGAGCTGGCGATTCCAGCCAAAAAGCTCACTGCTATATCTCCACTGCGTCTCCATAGCTTGGAGAAGAGGTATCGCGTTTGTGATTTCGGCATAACCTTTCCATCTCCAGGCAGACAAAATTCCCTCAATGGAATTTTTAACTATAGTTACACACTGATAATGTGACCCCTCTCTTGTCCCAGAGCAGAAGACGAAGACCATAGAGAAATGGAAAGACATGGATAAAGCCAGAGGAGGTATAGCTCTACTGGAGACAGGAAAGGCAGCATCTGCACCACCTGGTGACCATGTAGGGGATGGTAAAACGACCTGGTACAAGAGAGCCACACAGGAGATCTGTGCCTGCCTCATTCTCTCTAATATCATGGTGAGTAGTGCTGAGGCTATTATTTATGTGGGCTTATAGTGTTACACAGTATTTACCTAGCCTAGTGTCGTATATGATGAATGGTGGCAATTATCGCTGTCAACAAAGAGTTCGCCATACTGCATCGTGTTAGAGGCTTTTATTAAAATCACGAATCTACAGCATAGATACAGACTCGCGATGTCCGGAGAACGGCTCCCAGATTGATATGGCCGTTCTGCCGTCTAATCGTTTACCCCCTATTTATAAACAATGCAAAGGGAGGGGCTACTCCCTTCTTCTGGCCAATCACCAGTCTCCCTCGGCTCCCAGCATTCAAATAACTCATAAACTCCCCCTTTGGCTGCAACCACATCATTCGTTAAAACATTAACAGGCATCTTCAGACTATACTATCCCAATCTGTTTGTGCTTTCTTGCCAACTCCTATGCTTTCTCTTTGGCATAGGAATTGACAAGAAAGCGCATGCAGATCTGGGGTCAGGCTCTATCCATTTTCCAATTGAATGTCATTTAATTTGTACACCTATCTTTTCTCTCCCCACCTCAGCTGCAGGTGATCCCAGCGTTTGGAGCCCACTCCCAGTTTGAGAACGGTCTGTGGAAGCAGTTCTTTGGCTTCTCAGCCTGGTTTGTCCTAGTCAACCTGGGTCAGCCTCTGGGAGTCTTCTACAGGATGCACTCTGTGGGAGCCCTAATGGAGCTACTCATCACAGCATGATGGATAGGGCTAACTACAGTGCCATTTTCCCCTCTCCTCTCTTCCTCTGTTCTCTCTTCTACTGGGACAAACTGACTTACTTTTCATCACCTCTGGGCCATAATGAGATCCCTCCACCTTTTCATATCCTTGGTGAAAAGTTGTGCAGACTGACTACTAGGGACTAGCTAAATATCAGTTAACTGTAAAGATGAGATGTAAACATTTCCATTACGGAATGACTTCGATTTTAAAACTGACAATGTTTAAAATACTTTACCCACTATATATGTTTTGACATTAATTACACGTGAACTTTGATTCATAATTTTATATAATTATATATTACATATATCTCCGGTACTTTATGAATATATTGACATTATGAAATCAGACACAGAATACAACAGTATCTTCACCAGCAATGCAATTTGCATGCAGTTCAAAAGCCAATACATTTCATAGAGATATCCCTCCCTGTCTCCGTCAGTCAGTTCACCGAGGTCCCGGTCAGTGCACATATGGTGAAATGCAAACCAGCCCCTCGCCCCTACCAACTCGCTTGGAGGGCCCTCCGTTGTCATGTGTTTCTGATGAAACAGAGGGTGACTTCAAGAGTGGTGAGGGGACCGAAGAAACCCATCAATTTCAGGACACGTGTGACTTCAATGATGCAATTCATGTTCAACATTTCAATAATTTAAAAAAGCATTAAATTCAAATGAGAAAATTCCCCGTCATTTCACAAGATATAAACCTTGGTAACAAACATTTAATGTGGGAAGTATTTCATGATACATGTGTCAAGCCTCGACATCAGACACAAACAAATGCAGGTGTCTCATAGCCCCACCGCATTTATTTTGTGTGAAATTACGCAAACTCAAAAATAATGCAGTGAGTTATGGGATACCACTTCACTCTGAAGCCAGCAGCATAGCTGACTCGGTCGAAGTGGCTATCGGAGGATCTAATGAAGGGGTGATTTGGGATTAAGCCCTGGTCTCCCTTTATAATTCAGACGTGACAGGTTTCTTAAAGCTGCATCCTTTAGTGAGGCTCACGCTAGTCTAAGTCTCTATTTCACATCAAAATGAAAAGCAGTTTTAACGCGATAATAGGGATACCAAAAATGAAGGAGATACTGAAAATAAGTGCAATACATAATCTAAAACATACAAAAACTTAAAACAATGGCAAACCTCATACCTAACGTAACGAGTGGCGCAGTGGTCTAAGGCACTGCATCGCAGGGCTAGCTGTGCCACTAGAGATCCTGGTTCGAATCCAGGCTCTGTCGTAGCCGGCCATGACCGGGAGACCCATGGGGCGGCGCACAATTGGCCCAGCGTCATCCAGGGTAGGGGAGGGAATGGCCGGCAGGGATGTAGCTCAGTTGGTAGAGCATGGCGTTTGCAACACCAGGGTTGTGGGTTCGATTCCCACAGGGGGCCAGCATAAAAAAAAATATATATATATTTTAAAAATAATGCATGCACTCACTAACTGTAAGTCGCTCTGGATAAGAGCGTCTGCTAAATGACTAAAAATGTTTAAAAAATACAGTAGTGTATACATGTTTTTTGTTTGGCAAAAAAAGATACATCAAGGTTGAAGAAGTGAAGGAATATACCGACATGTAAAATCTACACCAGTAGAGTAGAGTACAGGGTTGATATGGCAGATCTTTTGGCAGTTGTAGTGGCAGACAGCTTGTAGTAAAAGTGGTTTATTACATGATGATTTACGGGTTGGCAAGAAACAAAATGCAGAAAACAAACACTGTCAATTCTTGTCCGTTAATCTTCATCTGTCCTCTTCCTCATCCAGACTTCTGTTCAGCTTTGAAGATGGCAGTTGGTAGGAGAGGGTTATTGGTTGGTGGTTCTGAGGGGGAACCAGCCAGACAACCCAGTTCCAGAGAGACGCAGTGCTTCCCAAATGGCACCCTATCCCCTTATATAGTGCACTACTTTTGACCAGGGTCCATAAGGCTCCAGTCAAAAGTTGTGCACTATATAGGGGATAGGGTGCCATTTCGGACGCAGTCGTAGAGACCTCTTCACCTCCTCCACTTAGACCCTCTGGATCTCAAACAGTCTGACGTCAGTGTCGTACCAGATAGGAGGATCCACGTTACTACGGTAACAACAAAAGCCCCGGGGGAAAGGAGATGGAGGAATCATGTCATTGTTAACAAAGATCAGATTTGATTTGAGAGACCATGACAATCACCTGTGATTCATGGAATAAGTGACTCGGCAAGTAGATGTTACAAACACACTGACTGACCACCAGCTGGTACACTTTGTTCCTAGACCTGGGGGCTGGTACAGATGGCTGGATCAATGAGTTAAGCAGATGACCAAAATTGCTTGAAATAACTTCATAATTTTGAGAAATATAATGATAATGTATAACTGACTTGACAACAACCAATATACAAATGTTGTTTTCTTTATCAACCAGAAAATCAAGTAATGTGGCTATTAATCAAAGTTAGCTGGCCAATTTAATAATCCTGCTTTCGGGATTCAGGAATACCCTGCACTGCTCTTTTGTAATTACTCCAAAGTAGATCTTAACTTAATCTATAGTGTCTTGTCTTATTCATTCTGTATATGGATTGGGTCTTTTACTACAAGTATTTACTGTCATCACCATCATGAACTATTGTAAATATCTTAATGTTTCCCTTTTCATTTGGCCCATGTTGCTTACCGTAGGTAGATGACACCCCACATGTATGTGCGGAACCACATGGCGGTGCCCGCGTTGGCCTGGTACTTCCTGATGAGGATGGGGTGAGGCACGGGTAGCAGGCCCACCAGGGTACCATGCTGCAGGAACTTCAGGATCTCTGACTCGTCTGTCAGGCCCCTGGAGGAGATAGACATATACTTCAGTACAATTAGTTTTACAGGGACAGTGCACATTAATCAACATTACTGTAAAAGTGCCAGTTTTAGCCAGTGCACATTAATCAACATTACTGTAAAAGTGCCCGTTTTAGCCAGACAGCTATTTTTTTACTACGGTCCCTGGGCAGGTTATACCCATACATTTAATCTCTCTCATCTATGCTAATCCAGTTCTAGGGAATTCTATTGATCACTCTGTGTTCTGGTCACTTATGGGTTCCACAATCAAAATCACATGATCCTATTGAATCCTACAGATTCTCTCAGTCCTACTCTCTTGAATTGAAATGTGACCCACCCCCCTCTCCCCTATTTAACTCTGTTGGAAAGAGTAGGATCCACCTCTCTTACTTGTCTATGCAGATCTTCTCCACCTGAGGAACCAGGACTTGTAGCAGCCTCATGATCGTCTGGAGAGGAAGCTTCCTCTTCCAGGAGAGGACCTGACAGAGAACAGTACAGAGAAAGGAGAGCAGGTCACCATCTATCGGGAGGAAGGAAGGAAGGAAGGAAGGAAGGAAGGAAGGAAGGAAGGAAGGAAGGAAGGAAGGAAGGAAGGAAGGATCTTACCAATGATGTCCATAACACCCCAGCTGTGAATGTACTGCATGTTTAGGGTTCAATGGAAAGGGGAGGGAGGGCTCTTACCCAGTCTGGAGTGGGGTTCCAGTATGTAGCTGATGCTGACACTCTGGACAAACGACTCCTGGCCGGTTCTGACTCTGGTTGAAAGGCCTCCTGACAGGAAAAATAATAACCATTGTAGTAGTCACTAGGCTCAACAGCATTTTCTTCACGAAATCATGTCACGGAGAAGTTACGTACTGTATATCTGTATACATTGTCCCGATACATATTCGTTATTCACTCTAAATGATTCCCCCAAGGATTGCTTTCCAGTGAGCTGGGTTCATGACCCTAATCAGAGCTCTTACCTCGGTGTCTCTCCCTGAGTTGGACTCTGTGTCGCTGGCTCCTGCTTTACCACTGGTGTTAGAGTCAGCAGACTGTGGCGAGTGTTTGTGCTGGTCACCAGCCGTCTGAGGCTGCGGAGAGTGTGTGTGCTGGTCAGCGGCCATCTGTGGGGAGTGTGTGTTGTGCTGGAGACAGACCATGGTGCCATCCTCAGAGACCTGAGCCTTCTCTGTCAGCTTGTCAATAGCTACAGTGACAACACAGACCCTTAGAGAATTGTTCAATGGTTTCTAACAATGAAACTGATCTCAAATAAGGGGTTGCTATGATATTTCGTGAAAATGACAAAACCAAATCAACTGCTGTTTTTAAAAATGTTTTGATAAAAGGGCTTTGAGAATTCCAATATCTGTGATGAACCGAGTTGTAGAGTGAAGCTTAGTGGACACCCGGCAAAGCCCAGTTAATAGAAAACATTAACATACGATAGGGAAATGTGCTTTGCAAAATACATGCATGCATGCATGGAGAGCTCCAAAGAGGAGGGGGGTACCTGGTATTGCCACGAGGCTGGCTTTGAGGGTCCCTGGCTCGGCTGGGACGGCCGGTCGGGACCCATCCATGGAGATGGTCTCCTGGGAGTTGGTACGGGAGATACCAGCCAGGGTCTTCTTCTTCATCTGTAGGGCCTTGTTATGTGGATGGAGAAGGACATTATAAATTAAAGCTTCAATGATTCAGCTGCAACTGTGTCAAGTGAGTGCTGGCCCCTTTTTCATTTTAAGATCCCCTGTTCACTGTAACATGGACAAAGTTGTATTCTATAAAGGATAGAGTTCTACATTAGAGAGCATATTCTCGCTCTCTCTTTACCTTGTGGATCGTGGCCAGGTCAGAGGTCAGATTGGCCAGCTGATGGAAGATGTTGCGCTTACGGATGATGGCATACACCAGGTTACAGTTACCTGGAAGGAGGAGGAACAAACAGTGGGCATGTTTATAATGTCAACGTTTAAAGGCACATTCCAGAAAAAAGTGCTTTTAAATAGTGTCAGTCTGGTAGTTTATGTTCTGGTCATTTAACATCAACCATGTTGACGCAATCTCATTGTCCGCCAAGAGATACTGCCAAGTCAGTGCTCGCTAAAATCTTTCGAGGAGTGAGCCAACCTCTCGACCCCAGGTTTGCTCTACTACTGTGTGACGACTGACAACGTGAGTCTATAGAGCCTGGGTCCCAGAACACTTTGTGCTGTCTTGCCAACTCCTTGTCACTCATTGCCATGTTTGGCAAGACAGCACAAAGTGATCTGGGACCCGAGCTAACTAACAGCTGGGCCTTACCATCAAACTGGTACTGTATGATGTTGTTGAAGACCTCGAGCAGGAAGAAGACCAGATGATGATTCTGGGAGGCAGAGAACAGGAACCAGTTGGTGGAGAAGGCTTCGAGGAGGTGGAGCAGCTTGTTGGCTGCTACCATGGACAGACTCTTCAGGTAGGGAGACACTGGAGGATGGAGGAGTACTGGTGTCAAGAAACTGCAATACCCAGATGCAGCCAACAGGTGGCGACCATTTCACTGACAGTCAGACACTCACCCACAGATTTAAATAGAATAGTAACACACCGTTCACTATGATAGTAAGCAGGCAGTCAAAGAGAGGCTTCAGGCGCTGGTGTCCACCCGTGATGATTTTGTGGAAAATCTAGACAATCACAAATGAACTAACATAAGGCAACTGTGGACAGTTATCTTAATAGCGTACTATGAATAGTCTCCACACACTTGAATCAATGCTAATTTCCGTTTATGTGCCAGGCTTTTCGGTCAACAAAGACCTTCATCAGTGCATGGTAAAATATATAATTCCCTCATTCCACACCCATCCAGGGAAGCATTGAGACGTCTCCCATCCACACAGCACCAGTAGCACTACTCACCATGATGAGCAGATCAGCATGTGTTCCAGTGAACACAGGGATGTCCATGGGGACTCGTACCGAGTAGGGTTTATTCAGACGCACACCAAAGTTCCTCTCTCCACTCAGCAGCAGCAGGATGAACACACCGATGTGTATCAGGCCCACACGAGCTGCACACACACACACACACACACAGTACATGTCACACAAACACACACTATAAACTAAGACAGAGTGCATGTACCCCTAGTACCCAACAATCCCAAGACATACACAGACTGCATTCGGAACGTGCACGCACACACAGTTCTGTGTGACTCACACTGGTCAGCCCGTGCATCATTCAGGTAGAACAGGACAGGCACCAGGACATCCAGAACATCACTGCTCTTTAACACGAAGAACAGAAACTTCTGAAACACAAAAAAACAGAAAGTTCTTTTTTTTAAATCTCTTTTAGCCCACAAAGGGGCTATGAGAGTGAGCTTCAATATTATATGAATAGTCTAGCCTGTACAGTGTGGAAACAGTTAGGAACAACAGTACTGTACTTAAAAATGTCAGAGACAGAAACCCAGAGGTTAGACACAAACACTTTAGACAGGACTTGTCAAAGTTAAAATTAAATTATTATCACAATCTTTTAGACCTTGCCCTCTAGAGAAGCTGCAAACTTAAGTGATGAAACATGAAACATTTATTTAGAGAGAAACACTTTAAAAGGCACCTCATCTCCTCAGTGCATCCCCTATGTGAGAGAGAGGAGGACGTAAACATGTAGTCAACGTGCGACGCAATGAGGCATATACCAGGCAGCACAGATCGATAAATGGCACAGTGTTGAGGTGCAGAAGGGTAGAGAATTGGGATGCAGAAAGTGTTGAGAGGTGGATGGATGTGAGAGGCAGTGTGTGGCACAGAGCTCCAGAGACCGTGGCACCTAACAAACACAGATGTGCCACTTTACCCTACTCTCTAGATACCCCTCACAGTGTTCTTAATTAACCTAAACGAGAGCTGCTAAATTATTCTTATTCAATGAGCTGTAAATATACGACTAAGGACCACTAATGTTGGGAACAGCTGAGAAGAGTGAGGCTAGATGGGGGAACAGCTGTGACGGGTGAGGCTAGATGGGGGAACAGCTGTGACGGGTGAGGCTAGATGGGGGAACAGCTGTGACGGGTGAGGCTAGATGGGGGAACAGCTGTGACGGGTGAGGCTAGATGGGGGAACAGCTGTGAAGAGTGAGGCTAGAAGGAGGAACAGCTGTGAAGCGTGAGGCTAGAAGGGGATTTGCTGTGGAGAGTGAGGCTAGAAAGGGGGGACAGCTGTGAAGAGTGAGGCTAGAAGGAGGAACAGCTGTGAAGCATGAGGCTAGAAGGGGAATAGCTGTGGAGAGTGAGGCTAGAAAGGGGGACAGCTGTGAAGCATGAGGCTAGAAGGGGGGACAGCTGTGAAGAGTGAGGCTAGAACAGAAATTAGGAACCATGTGACCTAGGATGGTCTTAGGCAGAAGCACTCTATGTGCTCCAAAACCTTGTTGAAATCACAAACAGATATGGGACCAGGCTAGAAGTGATGGGGTGAGACTACTAGTCCATCTATGATAGTATTAAGGCTACTAGAGCACTGTTGTATCCTTCAATGTAGGTATGATGGGATGCCGGTGCTAGCGCTCCAGTCCGAACCTTGTTGAAGTCACAGAGCTTCCAGAAGAGCACCAGGAGTTCCTGGTGGAACTGGATTTTCTTGGTAGAGTTGGGCAGGTAGGTTTGGATCAGAGGGTTGGTCAACAGTCTGGCCAGGCCCTTCAGGATGAAGTTGAAGTCCTGGGGAAAGACAGGAAGGACAAAACAACAACCTTCTATCACTTTACTGTGACTTGAAGGGTTAAAAAAGGACCTCTGATTGACCCATTGAGTCATATGGCTCTGGATTGACCGTTTGAACAGTGTACATTAGTCTCTTACCTCCTCCCTATGGATCCTTGACAGGTAGTTTACAAACAGGTTGTATGGTCCCACAGGCTGAGAACACAAGGAAGAGAAAAGTTATCAGATGATACAACAACCAACAATTCCACGTGGCCAAAGACAAGCTGGAGCTACCACCATGTTGTTTATTCCTGTCCAGATCTCTCAGAGGTAAGGCAGGGGTGTCAAACTCATTCCATAGAGGGCCTAGTGTCTGCTGGTTTTTGGTATTTCCTTTCAATGAAGACCTAGACAACCAGGTGAGGGGAGTTCCTTACTAATTAGGGACCTTAATTCATCAATCAAGTACAAGGGAGGAGCGAAAACCTGCAGACACTCAGCCCTCCTTGGAATGAGTTTGATATCTGTGGGGTAAGGGATTTGAGATTCAGGGTCTCTTTTACCTCCTGGTCTTCCATGGCAGAGGCGGAGAGGGAGTCTGAGTGGTCCAGGTTGTGTTGGGCTGCCCCAGTCTCGTGCTCCAGAGTCACTATGAGGATCTGGACAGCATGCTCCACCAGCACCTCTCGGTAGTCAGAGAACATCAGGTGGTTGTAGGGGATACCGTACCCCACTGGGTCATAGGCGCACACCACGTTGAGGAGAGACGTGAAGAGAGGCAGGGCATGTCTGGGACGGGGAGGAAGAGGTTAGGATTAGTGTAACACACGCACACGCTTTAAACTAAATCATCAGTCATAAAGTGTGTGTGTGTGTGTTACCGGTTGTCTGTAGAGCTGAAGAAGGTAACCCAGGGGTTGAGGATGTTGTTCTCAGCAGAGGGGGGCAGGTACATGGCGTCAGAGAAACAGGTCAGTAGCAGCTTCAGCAGCTCCGTCCTGACCAAGACAGTGGAGAGAAAGATGGAAAAATCTTCTAAATCCCAAATCAACCCCTAGCCCCTACCCTCTAGGCCAGAGAGGAAGGCAACTAGATTCAGCCACGGGCCAATTTTTTTATCCCATCGAACGGTCAGGTTTCGGAAAACAATTATAATAATTTGTACACTGCAAATTTACCACAAGTAAGCCCAAAAAGAGATTGTATTTGAACAATCATTTCATACCTTGATTACATTGAGACATGATGACGTGTATTGTTATTTGTGGGAATACTTGGGAACAGATTTTCTGAATCCATTTTACAAACTAAAACCCAACTGCTCTAGGCACTTGTTTAGATCTGAGAGGGTTGGATATGTGTAAGCAATATAGTGGGAGTTCCATCTTGCCCCCTGATAAGCGAAGTGGAATTGTCGCTGTATTGATTATATCTATCCAATCCTCTCATATCTACACAAGTAGATCTAGGAATTCAGGGATGCCCTCTCTCCATCCTTCCTGGTGCAGCGGTCTCACCTGTTGAGGTCGTGGATGTAGTTGAGAGGGGGTGACTGAGCGAACCCCACCCCTGCCTCCCAGATGTACTCACAGCTGTCTATCGACTGCATGTCCTCCTCTGTGTCCTTGGAAAAAGGAGAACACTGATGTGACCTTCAAACCTAATCTAGTAGTATTTATTTTTATGAAATCCTACGAAATTCTAATAAATGTTGTTACACTCTAATGTAGCACAATTATTGTTTGGTTTACTAGAAAACATGATTCATTGCACAATGTGTCATGTAAATAATTAATGAATGTCAAATGGGATGTCAGTTACTCACTATTGCCACCCTACAGTGCAGTGATCACAGAGGACATGGTGGATGGTGCTTTATTCATATCAGCAGAGGGATGGGGGTGCTGGACTGTGAGAGATAAATCATGAACTGAATGCATAGGGGCTTGTCGGTAATGAGTGGGTGACTGGCAAGATGAAGCATGGCACTACAGTAGCAGTCAACTGAGACAAATAGCCTGATCGACAGGGGGATGCATGGTCATGTGCACGAGGCAGCGTGACTGTGGCTGCTTCCCAAATGGCACCCTAACCCTTATATCAGGGATGGGCAACTGGCGTCCCTTTTGTAGGGGGGTGGGGGGGACTCAGTCGGGGTTGAGAGTTAGAATACACAAGGTGCAATTTCAAAATGTGGTTGTGCATCAGCAGTTTTTATTTTGTTATGTCAGTCACTGCCAAGTCACTCAATTAGCCAATGTCAGTTAGAAAATTGGTAAGTTAGTCTAGCGGCCAGCTATCTAAACTTGTATTAATCATGGTCGAACTATTGACCGGGGGCAACAACTGATTTTGTTATTCACTCTCATTCAATATCATAGTAAAAACTGCTAATATTTCTCTCCGCACCATAGCAAAATTAGTAAAATTGCATGAAATTAGTTATAGAATTGCTAAATATTATCTCCGTTCCATGTCAAAATGTATAGAATTGCAGGAAATTAACTCTAAAACTTCTCTCCACTGTCAAGAGGGGGGCCGCTAAAATGTTTTGCTCGCAAGGTGGGGGGGGTTTGGGGCCCAACAAAATGTAGCTTATGGCCCCCCAAAAGGATAGGGCTGGCTCTGACTGCATGTGTTGGTACAGATGTGGGTACGCAGACCGGCCCCTCATGATGAGTTCTGATTTTTGGTGGCCACCACCCCCATCAAAGTTGCCCATCCCTGCTTTACATAGATTACTACTCCTGACCAGGGCCTATAGGGCTTTGGTCAAAAGTAGTGCACTATATAGGGAATGGGGTGCCATTTGGGACACAGTCTTTGTTCACACTTCCTTCCACCTTGTGATTTTACAAGTGGCCTGAGCTGAGCACTCATCTGACTACCCACCTTCTGTCAAACACCTCTGCAGAGGGAAATAACTGTGGCAGCCATTTTAACTGCCTAGAAGGAGTGTCAGCAGCAGCCCCATTTTTTATCTTCATAGATTACTATATTAAGTTCAGCTGTGTAGGAACTCTGCCATGATATTATTCACTCTAGTAAATAGTTGACTCTAACCTTGGAAGTGATAGATACGTGTGTGTGTGTCTGTGCGTGCGTGCGTGTTAGCAGTCATTCAGCCTTAACTGCCTGTGTGTGACTGCCTTGATCCTTGAAGAGATAGGGACAAACAGAACACACACAGCCCCTGGCTGTTCTCCATCTCCACCCTGATCCACACAACTCTGCTGTCCATCTTTCTCACACCATCAAGTGCCCCACTGAGTGTGACATTTCCGTATGCGTGCGCATGTGTTGAGTAGCTGTGAGTGAGTGGTCAACTGGAGGATCGGGAGGGTGAAGGGTGACCATTTTATTTTCACGGCCCTGTCAAACACCATTGGGCCCTGTGTGGCCGGCAACAACACCATAGAGGTGTTTACACAGTGGATAAGGAGTGTCTACCACCCTACTCCTCAGCCCAGTTGACAAACATGGCCCAGGGTCACACCTCACCTCACACTGAGGACTGGAGTCACTCATTAACCCTGGAGCCTAGTCTGCACAGGGGAGCTAACAGAGCTAAAGGAGCTAACAGGTACATTACACACAGCATGGAACCCCAAAAGGGGTCTAATAGGACATTCTGTTCTCTTATGGACCAATCTTAACTTGAGATTCATGTGAAAGTCTGCATAATCTCGTTTCTGTGCGCAGATCTTGAGTTACAATTTTCCTCCAGAAAATGAAATACACATTGTACATTAAACAACAGTTGGACGGACCCTATAGCTTTCTTAGACTCAATAACTCTGAAGAAATTATCAGCAGACCAAAAATAAATCACTAAAAACTGAGATCACCCAAGAAGAAATATTAGATACTGTTAAAACATTTTTTTTTATTTTTTTTTTATTAATTTAGCAGATGTTCTTATCCAGAGCGACTTACAGGAGCAATTAGGGTTAAGTGCCTGGCTCAAGAGCACATCAACATATTTTTCACCTAGGCGGCTCGGGGATTAGAACCAGCGACCTTTCAATTACTGGCACAACGCTCAGCTACCTGCCGCCCTAGCACAGAGAAAAGCACCAGGAATGAATGGCTTTCCCATAGAATTCTATTCAACATTTTGGGACAAAGTAACCCCCCTATTTACACAAATGACAACACACATGTCACACAATTCAGTACTTCCTAGTTTCATGTATCAAACAGTTATTTCAGTTATATTAAAACCAGGAAAATCTGGAGAGTCTCTTTCTCATTATAGACCCAAGTTGAAATAAATAATAACAAAGCTTATAAGCAATAGAATGGCAAAAGTCTTACCAGACTTGATAAATATCAATCAAACAGGCTTTAATAAAAACAGACACTGACAAACAAATAAAAGAAAATGTTTTAGTTTTATACAATATGCAAAAAAACAAGCTATAGATTTATAAATAATGGCTGTTGATGTGGAAAATACATTCATATAAATGTCCTAAAGCTAAAATATACACAACTAATACTGTACATTATCTGATGAAATTGCTTTAGAAAGGGGCGCAAGACAGGGATGTCCCCTCTCCCCCCCTCCTGTTTGCACTGGCAACTCAATATATATATTCACAGTGGGGAAAAAAGTATTTAGTCAGCCACCAGTTGTGCAAGATTCAGTCTTCCCAGCCTGGTGCAGGTCTACAATTTTGTTTCTGGTGTCCTTTGACAGCTCTTTGGTCTTGGCCATAGTGGAGTTTGAAATGTGACTGTTTGAGGTTGTGGACAGGTGTCTTTTATACTGATAACAAGTTCAAACAGGTGCCATTAATACAGGTAACGAGTGGAGGACAGAGGAGCCTCTTAAAGAAGAAGTTACAGGTCTGTGAGCGCCAGAAATCTTGCTTGTTTGTAGGTGACCAAATACTTATTTTCCACCATAATTTGCAAATAAATTCATAAAAAATCCTACAATGTGATTTTCTGGATTTTTAAAAATCAATTTGTCTGTCATAGTTGACGTGTACCTATGATGAAAATTACAGGCCTCTCTCATCTTTTTAAGTGGGAGAACTTGCACAATTGGTGGCTGACTAAATAATTTTTTCCCCCACTGTATATACACACAAATACCTTTATTCCATTACTCAACAATATGAAAGCAGATCTAATTAAATGAAACAATCGTCCCATAAATCTTACAGGTAGCATAAACCTATTCAGAAACGGCATGGCTCTCACCGTTTTTGTATTTATTTTCAGTAATATCAATTACCCCACCGAAGACACTCATTTTTTAAAAAGTATTCTCGGTCATAACAGACTTTATATGGGCAAATAAAATTCATAGAATAAAAGGGAAATCTTCCTAAATCTGAGGGTGGTTTTAACCTTCCAGACTTGGAATTGTATCAACTCGCTACCCAAGGCTTTTACTTAATACATTTAGTTAAATGCACTAGAGGAACAATGGGTACAATTGAAGATGCGCATGCTCATCCCCAAAATATATTTTTTCTCTATTTTCAAAGGATAAAGCTAAGAACATGAATAACTTCATAGTTAAGAACACTATAACAATATGGAATAAAATTTAACGTATTCTACAAGAACCAATATCACTCCCTAAAAACACAAGCTTTTCAGAATTCACAGATAAATTGGTGTACATGGAAAACTAAAGGCAAAAAAACTGTAAATTACTTGGAAATAGGAAATATATTTACTTCAATGACAGCTTTAAAAAGCAATTTTTGACCAATGTAGACAAAATTCACATTCTACAGCACAACGGCAGAGTCATGTCTGAAGTGTAAAACTAATATTGACTAAATAATCCATGCCTTCTGGGAATGTTATAAAGTCCAAAAGTTATGGGCGGAGTTCGAAAGTTGGTTGTCAGAACTATTACAATGTAAATTAACTTTTAATCCGTCTGTCTGCATATTTCAAGACATGGCATATGAGGGTGCAGTGAGATACCCGATGGGTTGGACAATACTTTTCTCGTCAATCATCTTTAAAAAATGTATACTTAACTGGAAA